GTATGTCATCCCAGTTCAAGCGCAGACTCAGCAGCCGCTCCACAACCTAGGAGCTACATCAAGGATGTGGTGAAGTACTGCAAGAAGCCCGGAAACGAGAAGTTGGTCAAGCTTGCTGGCTGCACGAAAGTATCAGCCTATATTCTGTTGCAACACGATGCAGTGACTCTGCTATGTCTCGACCAGACTGCAGTGGAAGCTGATCATCATGCTTGATTTTATAGGCACCCGAGTCACCGGAGTGATGAGTGGGGTTTTGTGGGGGACGATTGGTTCATCTGACAATCAGATCTTAAGGAAAATTTAAAGTGATGTTGGTGCTACATTGCTGTATGTTTCGAGCTGTCACAACATGTCCTCTTGTGCTGACATGGCAAGGAAGGACCGCTACAACAAGAAGATCCTGAAGTATTATGTCACGTACAACGAAGATGACTCGGACATGGACGAGCAGATCGACACCGAAAAACATGAAGAGCAAGAGACGGTGCCCGGGCAGCATTCGATAAACAAACATATGCTGTCCAAACTGCAACAGGAGCCCCATGTAATCCCAGGGTGGTGTGTGTGTCCGGCACACTAGCCGAACCAATTCCATCATTGTCCCTGCAACAAGAAGCTGAACAAATCATGCACCCATCTTCTGTCAGGGCAAGCAGAAGCTTGACCTGAGCGGCCCGACGAGCAGCGGCTTGGAGAAGGCGCCCACGGTGAGCGACAGCGATCAGGAGAGCTCCGCGGATGAGAAGGAGAAGAAGGCCATTGAGGTCACCCACGGCCAGCAGGACATACCTTGCATGGGTGTCGGGGTATAGACATGTCTGTCTTTCTGTGTGTGCCCGTATGACATGCCATATGTGTATATGTGTGTGTGCATGTGTTTGCCTCTATGCATGTGTATCCGTCGGCCTCAATGTTTATATATATATACACACACGGCCACCTGTATGTGTAGCTGTCTACACACATTTTTGTATGTAGGTGTGCATGTATGCATGAATGTTGTTGTGGGTGTCGCTTCTTCACCAGCTTGTTTGCTTGGTTGTTTGTTTGTTTGGTTTGGTTTGTATTTGTATTGTGTTGGTGTGGATTGCTGCATTTGCCTGTTTGTTTTGTGTGTC